TTACTTTTTATTGTGGTTTTTTTAATAAAAGAAGAGTATCAATAAAGATTATTTATTTTAATTTCGAACTTTAATACTATGTGTTTTTAATTAATTTTGAAACTAACAAAAGAATCTAATTTTATGTGGTTTTTTATTCTACTGTTAAACATACGAGAAAATTTTTTGGTCTTAATAAAGAAACTTAATAAAGATAAACAAAAGAAGAAAAAAGGAATTTGTAACAGGGAAGATCCACAACGTTGGCTTCACAAGGAAATTAGTTGGACAACGGACAGATTGAGATCTTTTATATCGCTGCCATTTAAGCAAGGTGTTTTAATTGAGTTACAACAGTCTGGAAAAGCCGGCGAAGAGCATCTCGCTATCACTCTGCTTTGTATTCTGCAAGATTTTCAAAGAACATCAAATTTTTTATTTTATATCACAGGTAAAATGTTTTAATAAGTAGAAACTTGATTTTAATTGATTGTAAGGTTTCAAGTATATTTATATAAATATATTTGACGTTAATTTTAATTTTTTTTCTATTTACGATGTGCCTCTGATGATAGATTTGCAGTTGCCTGTAAGCTGCGAAGTGGAATTCTCTATTCCAGAACGTTACAGCATTTTGCTGCACAATGTACTAACGAATACTATAAATTATCAGACAGGGGACATCGTACGATTACTAGCAATATTTTCCTCCGCAATCTTAAAATATCAAAATATTGCTATCAAGCTGAAACTATCCGGATTAATACTGACGGATGCAGCGCTGGTGATACTAAAGGATAACGTTCAATGGCTTATACCAGACACCAATCAAGTGCCTTTAGTCACTAGAGAACAAGTTATGAGCAATTTGATTGGAATAGTCAGTAATTTTCGATAATATCTGTTACCGTAAATGTACATTCTATTTATGAATCTCTAAAGAAAATTTAAATTTTCTTTAGTAACTCATGGATGGGTGCCATGATTAAATTTAACAAAAGAACATGCTATCTCAAATTACCTGCACTATACCAAGTCATCTATATTTACACTAGTTATAACTTAAAGCTTAGAAAGAGATAATGCTTTTAAATAGTTGCGCTTTATATAATCTTAAAAGTACAATATATAAATTTTGTGATTGAGTCGTTTGCATTATCTCTTTCTATATAATCCGTTGCACATTTAATGTACATTTACTAATATAAATATAATGTAATAATTTTTTAGGAACATTGTGACACTTGGTTAACTTTAAATTTTTTGGACGAAATTGCGGGCCTTGAAGAAAGCTGGACATTGGAATTTGTTTCTTCTGGTGCTGCCGAGGCTGTAATAAGTTCTATTCAGCCTCCGTGGGAAAAGTTATTCTCGATACCTCTGCAAATAACACGTATAACGCAAGATGATGCAGAAAAAGCTTAAACAATACACAAATCAAATTTCTAGTGAGTTTTTCTATATTATAGTCATGATGAAATTAATAAGGTGAAATATTGCGCATAATAGCAACAATAATACTGGAAATAACTAATCAAATGTTATCTAAATTCTTCTACTATGCATCCATGGGAATGCTTTACCTTATTAATTTTACCATGATTATAATTTAGTTCAATAAATTTTTGTCTTATATCTAGAAAATTCAATAGACTAAGAACAACTACAACAAAGGAAAAAAAAACACGCGCCCTATTTATTGCAAGGATTACAAGAGATTGATTTGCTGAAACGAAATAGAGAGAAATCCAGATGTATA